AACGTTGACCTGTTCTCTTTTTACACTTGTTAAACTGTCGCTTACACGTCGTTTAAACTTCGTGTCATGCACTTTACGAGGTTCCTTAAAAGTCTCGCTTTCGTTTAATTCAGTTTCATGCACGTCGCCATCATTGATCTTCCTGTGGTCTACAGTAACGTTCTGGGTACAAAACTCGTAGTCTGCCCGTCGTAAGCACAGCTCAGCAAGCGTGTGTAATCCGCGCGTGTCGAGCGCGGGAAAAGGCACCGGCTGATTCCTCCCGTTATTGGTGCGGGGAATGTAAGAGTCCGCGTTGGCTTCCAAATTGCACTGGATGGCCACATCGCCTGAAAAAAAAATTAAAGTTTTGAACACGAAACAACAGAAAAAATATGCACTTACACAACCCACAATTTCTCCATTCACTCTGCTTTGGAAACTCTTTTCGGTGGCCGGTTTACATCATCAACTCAGATGATAACACCAAATAATCTTGTATTGCTCCCCGCCGACGCAGCACCACAGTTTCTTTAGGAACTTACCCTTCTATTGAAAAAAAGTTTATCGAAATAAAGCAAAAGAAAGCTCTTACAAGTGCTCTGCCCTTCCATGATCTGTCCTCTCGGTGAATTATCTCAGTGTTCAAAGCCAAGAAAAGTAAATTTTTTGAGGGGGGTTTATCTTCAAAATGGAAATATCTTCGACGATGAAGCTACACGGTCCTAATAACTTTGTACGTTTTACGTTCTGTGCGTTTACGCTGATCGCAAGTTCAAGTAAAGAGCTACCTCTCGCAAAATTTCATTTGAAAACTCCTTTGATTTTTCCTTCAAAAATTTGTTTTTCTCAAGGAAAACCTGTTAACTTAGAACCGTGGATGATTCAAAAGCTAAACCGGATCAATTCTATAGGGTTCTGGATAAAACTCCACCAGAAACAGTCGAATCTATTTGTCACAGCCGGAAATCTCCAGTGAAATAAGATAACTTAAGATCTTTTTAAATAGAAAACAGCATACGAATGTTGTTTTGCTTGTTTTTTGCATTAATCTGAATTTATCATATGACACCATTTCCTACCTTACCTCAATTTTTTCCTCTTGGAGTGTTTGAGCGTGTGATGACGTGATGCGGGCTTAATTTTCACTGCATCGAATAACTCAATTAACTTCCGAGCTACACCGATATTTTTGAAATTTTTTGTTAAAAAATAGAGAGGAAATATTTGTAAAAATTTCAAGGTCCTGATCTGAGCATTCTCGTGATTTAAATTAATTCGATCTGTCCCATATAGTGAAGATAAAAAGAAAATAACACTTGTCTTGCCATTTGATAGTGTAACTTTGATCACCTAACCCAATAACAGAAAAATCTAAAAATTTGTTGCTGCGTAATTAATGGTTCTGTTTCGGAAGACATGTGAAGAAAAATTGGATTTTCCCTCGCACTTAGTCTCTCTCCTATCGCATTTCATATCTACTTCTAAGTAGTGTGAACAAAGTGTACCTAGCTCAATATTGCGCTGGATTCTCCTCGGAAAGAATCCTCTTTTTACTGACGAGAGTAATTTTATTGAACAGGTTTTAGCATTTTGGTCGGTTTTAACCAGTTTAGACAAGTTTACAGCCCGGAATCGCGTCGAATCTAGAGGCTAGGAAGTTTAGTATGGACTACTTGTGATTTTCGGACCGTGAAGATCTTCCCTAATTGCCATTTTGAAGTTCAGGACTTTACAGGTGGTCATGTCAACAAAGTTTACCAACACTTACCGGTGGCTGATGAGCCCGGATTTGTCTGTTTCTCTGCTTCCTCAGCGATGTCTGATAACTCCTCATTTTCTGACAAATAAAAGAGAATTTTTTTCTGCAAAATGAGTCCAGAAAGCTATTCTAGGAAGTTCGATTTAAAGATTTTTAGAACACTAAACGCAAGGTTGAATTATTGATGCCAGGTAGTGATTTCACTACTTTTGCATACTCGCTCACTGAAGTAATCAGCGCTTGGAAAATCTCAAAGAAATTTGAGCGCTCCGAAGAAAAAATCACGATAAAAAAAGTTTTTTTTCTTTAGCGTAAGAAACTAATTCAATATGAAAACCAATTGAATTTAACTCCTTTCCACCAATTAGTCAGAAATACTAAATCTGACTGACTTTCGCTGACCCAGCGAACCGCGGACTGACGCCTCAACAGAAAAATTAAAATAACTCGGAGAAACTGTTATGAAAATGAACAAAATTGCACTAGAAATGATGGCATCGCACAAGCAAAAGCCTTCTTAATGAAAAGGCTCAGAGTTTCTTAGGTGAAAAACACGATTGACCTTTAATCTTGAGAAACCAAGTTGATCCCGGTGCGTTGGTATAACAGTACAGGTACTTACCCTGGTGTATATCCTCGGCTAACTTCCTCTTGTTGCGAGAGGCTTTTTTCACAAGGAAGGATTTTGGCATATCCTCTAGACTCGGACGCGTTCTTTCTCTTCAAACCAACTCCACTGCTCATCGAGCTTTAAGGCAACTTAAGGAGGAATCCCTCCCTCCTTGCCTCAAATGACGTTATCAACCGATTAGCCCTGTCTCCATTTGCGTCTCTGAGACTCACAAACCCCCATCAGGTATCACCATTAACAACGCGTAACTGATATCCTTACGATTTGCGCACGCGCAGGAGCAATCTGGCGTTTCAAAATAAACCTGGAAGTGCGCGCTCAGATTACAGCTTGCAAACGTCTTCTAAAACTTGATCGAAAATTCTAATTCTAACCGTGGTAGTATGTGATGAAGATAACTCTCCACAATTTTCGTGACAATCGACAGTGATGGTAAAATGTTGATGTTACACCGCTAGCTGTTTGGAGAAGTTTCGGTCCATCTGACCAAGCGGATTGAATAAGTTAGCAATTACGTCACAACCAGGTGTACGGTTAGGTAATAAAATTGACTGTCTTACGGTTAGAGTCATGCTCCCAGATTAACCGACTCTTAAATTTCAATTTCTCACGATTGGTGCCATCCATCCCCTTTTTATTTTAGTCAGTATACATTTTTTTTTAAAAAAATTTGAATCGGCTTCCTGCCGACGTCCCTGCCAGGTCCGCTAACGTGCGGATATCTCGATATTTACCGGTGTGATACTTGTTATTGGCCGGTTCTTGAATATCCCGCGCTCGACCCGTTTTTAGCAGTTGTTACGGTGTCGAGCGGCGAGCCAGTGAGTAAACTTACAGGTGGCCGACAGTAACATGTGTAAACAGCGACTAGGCCTCGTGTGTTCAGTGTGATAAGGTCAGAATAAATTGAACAACACTAGCAGAGATCAATGTCAGCGTGGGTTGAGTGTCTATTCTACATGGATGAAATCACTGTCGAAATTCCCTCTTGTTTTAGAGATAATTTATCGAACTTTTCGTTAATCAAGATTGGGAAAGAACGCGATTGATTTTTGACGTAAGATGATCTGTTAATCTCCGACGTTTCTTCAATGCATGGTGCGTCTTTCAGCTGGAAGTGTTGTTAATAGCACAAGCGACTTTTTGCCTTCCCAGTGTATGGCTATTTTCTGCTATAGATAGTTTGGTTGAACACAAAGTTTTAAAGCTAAACACGAAGTTAATTTTGTATTTTAACCAGTTGCACTATTAAGCAGTGTTATGGAGCAAGATATCGTGTCAGAAACTAAGATCATTCTAACTTCTTTCAGAAACTTTTGTGCATGTGACGAATTCCAATCAATATAGTCACGATGGGTGAAATTCATACTAAAATCAAAGCCGTCTTAAAGTTTACATAACGAGCTTAGTTACTGACCCTGGATTTACTGAATGAATTAAAAATGCTGACAACTTTAAGAATTTAGATGACAAAGGTTAGCTGCCGATAAACCATTGCGCATCAAGAAGATTCTGTCTCCATGAAAACGTTAATTGAACATTTGATTGTAGAGGCAAGAATTCAATGCTCTCCTGGGTCTGTGCGGAAACGTTTTTGAAATCTTAAAGTGAGTTTTGTTTCAAGAACAATTTAAATTGCTTCCTCATATTTATTGCACTTCGTAAGAGATATATTTGAATCAAGCAGGTCATATGCATTAACAGGTTGCGTGTTAGAATTGAACGCGCATCGTCACTTGCAACACTGAGCTTTCCCTTTTCAACTATAGAACTTGAAAATAATTTATGTGTCTACAAAATTGGAAACTTTCACCTCTAATTTCAAGCTTAGATTTGGAAATTACGTCCAAATTCTTAGAAAAGAAAAATTCACTGTTTTCCCAAAACAATCCAAATAAACAATTTTGGTCTCAAAGTTTATCGATGAGCATTCAGGTAATTAGGAAATAGAGAGAATGTTGTCCAATGCAGCTTCTCGGCTCAAACTTTCAGCGTTTATTCTCAATTAAGAAAACTTTGTTTTTACGATTTTCAGCTATCCACTTAAAGGAAAACCTTCCAGAGGATGATTCTTGAGACGTCATTTAAATCTCCGTGTTTAGTTTCTAATTGTGAATTGTTTTTTTAAGGCGAGATGACCGTATGATTAGGCAGTCAATGATCCGTGATAAATAGAAAATTAGTGGGAATGTTTTCCACGAATTTGTCTTTAGCAACACTTAAATAATCTATTGGTACCTAACTAATTGGAGAAGCGTTGCAGCAGCGTTGAATGGCTCCACCACTCTGTGCTTTAATTAGCCTCTGAATGACTGAGGGAAACCGGCTTTGATTTGCCACCAACAACTTAGAACTATTTTGTAATGCCCCAAAAAAGAAGCAAATTTTTGACGAATTGTTTCGGTTGTTGTGTTAATAGTTTTCTTCAAAATGGAACATAAGGGAGAAAAAGAAAACCGACGGATTTGTGCGAAATAACTGAAATAAACCATGTTCATATCAAGCAAAACAAATGGTAATGGTCAGTCAAATGAAAATAAAAAATTGCGTGTAGCTGGTACCCGCTTAAAAATGATACACTCATGCGCAGTGGCCTCAGCGATTTTTTCACGTTGCTCCTTGCACAAAGGAAACGAAATTAGCTTACAAAGGATAAATGGAAAGCAAACTCTTCTTCAACGTTTTAATTGACTTCGTACTGGATCTCAAAACAAATGCTTCATGAGGAAGCGGGCGATGTTGAATTGCACATGGCCTCTTATCGCTTCTGCCATCGTCTTTGTTTTTTTGGTCTAATAACGTTCTCTCTCTGTTCCGTTGTGTTCATCATGTCGAGAGGTAAGCACGGCGAAAGGATCTTCTTGCTAAGGGGTATTTACTTTCCACGATCTATAAACATCCATATTTTGCTTGGAAGATAATCGTGAAGACCCCGTGCGTCGAGATGATCGCTTATTAAACATTCATTGAAGCGTAAAACAAATTTATTAACATGCTTCTTAAAGTGGCCCCTGAAGTCGTGCGTTCGATCGAGAGCCATCAGCACTGTCATTGAAATAGTAAACATATCAAAGCTGTCCTTTGCTTATCAACTCAGATTACAAAACTTAACTGTAAAAGAATCATTGCTTTAAGGGTATTGCACAGTACATTGGGTCGTTGAGATTTCCGGGTTCAAGCCCAGGACGGGTCGTTGAGTTGTGTCCCTGGAAAAAAAAGAAAAAAAAAACTCCAACCAGGGAGAATAGTTGGTAAGGGGGGAGTAAAATTATTCCTGGTCGCTTATTTTATGTCACGTAAAATGTTCTTGCCTAAGCAAGATTTGGCTTGAGCTTAGAATTGTCTCGATATGCCCTTACTAATCTCTTCTTTCGTTAGTGCCACTAAAAATATATTTTTGTCCTTTTAATGCTGAGTTTGATTCGAAATTCTCTTTAATAAAAGTAACAATTATACTTTTGATAGGTTATTTGTCCTTCTTCGTCAGCCGAGGATTTGAAATCGTCGAAGAGGAAAGTAATTCGATCGAACGAAAACGCGAACTGCCCATCATCAACAACCACAGAGGAAACTTCAGTAAAAGAACTTGTAAAGAAGGGGATTTTGAAGATATCTTATTAGTTATTGTCTTTGTGGAAATCTTCTATGATTCCATTCCGTTACTGGAGCGACTTTACAGACATCGTTTTCCACATATAGTTTATTGCGGACCTACAAAACCACCTGGAGACCAAGAGTACAAGATGATCGTGGTATCTATGCTTCACGGAGTCACAGCTTACGATTGTCTGAGCACTGCAATCAGAACACAACCTCAATTTACGGGTTATTTGTTTATTAGAAGTGATTTGTTTTTAAATTTTTGGAGCATTTCAAATTTGAATAGATCTAGGATATGGGAAAGCTCTGAACAGCTTGGTTACCAGGTCATGTTTGAGCAACCGCGCGATTCCTGGATCTGGTGGTACACGCCATGGGGGCTAAAAGCTTGTGAGGAGGCCTATAAAGACCTTATTTTCCTGAATGACGCGCAGAAGCGTGCAATAATTGATAGCAAAGGGCAAGAGGAAAGTTCGTGGGACGTGGAAAACTCATTAAACGCTTTGCTATGGAATGGGCGTGGCTTAAACATGTGCTATCGAGGCTTTTCAAACCTATTTTATATTCCTTCAGAACAGGCCACTGCTTTTGAAAAACTGTCCACTGTTTTTCAAAAGCATCAGGTATATATGGAAATAGCAGTTCCCACCATGATTAAAATGCTCGATCTGTCCGAAAAATCAGAGAAAATATCAGGAGTAGATATTGGATTTATTTACGGGGAGGAGCGCGCACAAAACGACGGTAGTTTATTTTGGCGATATATCTCGCGCAACATAAGTTATATTAGACCTGTTGTGCTAACGCGTAAATACTCTGCAGAAAAAAACTCAGTCGGGATGGTGGAAGTGTTGTTAAATCGATTTAACCATACAAACTGTTCAAATAGCTAGTTTATAGTGCGATCAATTTTTTATATCTAGAAATTAATTGTTGCAGGAGAAATATGTTCTCGAAACCACAAGGTTATTATCTCTACCATTAATAAGTGTTTATAAAAAATATTACTCGTTGTGTTCTGAGAACCTGAGGGGTGAAAATCCGACTCGGGTTTCACAACTTTGCTCGTGAATGACGTCCCTAAATTCAACTTACGTTCCAAGAACCACAACGCTCACTAAAGAAACTTCTGCCATGATTATTACGAAGACTACCTTTCTGGGTTCGTTTTTATAGCTCTTTGAATGTTGAAATAGATTGCATGGAGATCAGTGATAAAAGGAACAGTGAGATTCAAAATAACAGCGCACGCAGCAAAGATTAGCCACTTGGCACCCGCATTCGCTCCGAGCTTTATGACAAGTTTCTTCAGTTTTTTGTCCACCTCAAAAAGCCCATTGATTAAATGGACAGGATCCTCTCTCATCACGCTTTCTCCTGGCAAAGAATACTTCCTTGGGACTTCAGTTTCTTTTTCGTATGTCATGAGGATTAATGTTCTCAGCGACAAATTTCAAAAAAACTTTAACTTTGATGGCAAACTTTCTAGGTTTGTGTATTTCTTTAGAATAATCGATGTCGTAACGTGATCTTTATAAACTGTAGCTGGTTTTTCCTAAGCTTAGAATAGCGAATTTATACCAAAAAACAGAATAGAGGGGGAATAGAACTTGTGACCACCAATTTCAGAGAGAAGGACAATTAGTAAGGAGATTGCTAACAGTGATTCATGGAGGAGAAATGGTAATGAGTGCTAATTTGAAAGACTGCTGACCATATTATGTTCCAAGAGAGGAAGACTGGTGACCAATGTGATGAAAAAGTTCCTTCTCATACATGTTCTTCTTATCTTTAAGCATTGATTTTCCTCCTCTCGAAGCGTAGTAACTATATAACAACCAGTCGCAAGGCATTTCAAAGTAAAATTTCTCGAGATAACGACCCAGAAGTCGAAGATTTTCGTCGTGGAAAAGCTTTCCTATAAACCCCCACATGCTGAAATTCAACACTTCCCACGTAACATTTCCTCTTTGATCAATAAATTTTCGTATTTGACTCAAAGTGTTGGGCTCAGTTGTGACATCATCTTCAAGATGCAAGTAGTAATTTGCAAGGCCATGACTGTAATAAAACATAAACACGTAATCCATGCTCTGTTTTGAACGCCAGTACATTCTGTCAGGCCCGTCGCCAAGAGTAGACGGAATTCCTTTCAAGCGAGGATAGAACGAGGGAGGAGCCGAAATTACATGAATTAAATTCATCTCCATGTATTTACTAAAGTTTTCTAATAGTTTCTTTTTGACGATCGCGCGGGCTGATTCTTCGGTGTCGGCGAGAAAAACAACAATTAAGATGTTTTTAAGGTCATCCTCCGAAACATTACTCGTCAAGAGCGAGTTTAAAGTTGCAGTCAAATAACTTTCCGTCTTGTTCTTGTAAGTTCTTGCGACAGTTGGAATTCCAATGGTTAGAAAAACTAAAACAAAAAGATTAGAAAATAATTGGCAAAGTTACATTTGATTAAATAAACCGCAATAAGGGATATAATCGTGATGCCTTCCATTTTGTACCTTTCCTCGTAAGTGGTTTTCCCAGCTCCCTCACACTTGTCTTCGTGATGATCTCCCCGTTTGGTGAACAAGACAAAACGTCCTTCACATTACAGCTTGCCTTACAACTCATACCTGAGAAGAGAACATCCGTTACTCTTAGACGTATCTTAGAATTATTTCTCCCCATTAACTCTGCCGTAACCCATTCATGTTAGAGACCTTTAGCAGCCAGGAAAGAAACGCCGAGGAAGACTTCGATTTAAAAGTGAAAGTATATTTTTAGTTAGAATTTCGCGAATGACTGGATATGTTAACTGTCTCTTACAGCGCCACGCCTCAACTTCAACATGACTTAAGTGCTCTGCGTTGAGTTTTAAATCGATGCTTAAAATACCGTCTAATTTCCCGTTGTCAGATCACGAAAATGTTGGTGATCTTGCAGAGGACGGAAATGTACAAAGAAATGTACAAAGTTTTAAAACACTGGTGCTGAGCCATTGCTCTGCCTTTTATGTCCTTTGTTTTGCCACGTCCCCGTTGCCGTCGCTGTTGTGGTTACTAGTGTAACAAGCCAATGAGAACTCGCAAAATCTCAAAGTGAATCATGCTCAACTGAAAGTTCGTAGATAAATTAATTTACGATTGGTCTTGGTTTTGCGACTTGTTGTTTGTGCGAGAATCAGCATGATTCTTTGTCTTAATTCAGAACCGGGGAGGTGAATTTTGAACCAATCACAGCACTGTTTCCTCGAAAAACCCCTGACTACTTACTGACGTCAGGTGGTTGAAATTTCCAGTTTAAATGAAGCATCAGTCCCGCTGTGAAAATCAGGAGAATTGTCTTGGAAGGCGAATTATTTCCTCTTGAATAACCAAGACATAACTTCAACTGTGAAGAAACAAAAACTTGTTATAACATTTTGCAATACTCTATTCACAGACCGTCCATTTTCTCTTTGTTCATCTTCAAAGGTGCGAACGAAACTGACAGCCGAGAAGATTTGAATAATGTGAACACTTGGGAGAAGGGGTTGGGTAAACTAAGAATTTTATCTTGCCCTCGCGTGTTGGCGGACTAAGTTTGCAATGAAAGTATTGATATTAAAAATGGAGACTGAGCAATTATTGGATGAAGTTAATTGTTGAGCATAATATCATGATTTATCAACGCCGAGCTCTGAGTTATCTGCGGAAGCCAAAGGCTGAGGCAGATAACACAGACTCGAGGTTTGATAATTCATGATATCATGCAAAAAACGAATTCAATAATATTTTTATCATACATTTTTAAACTATTTGCAAGAGAAGATACTTCTCTCTGCGTTTGTAAAAGTATGGGACTTGGAAACTAGGCAGACTTTGAACTCGACTTGATGACTCAACATCCGCTGCAGACACTGGGTTATCATGTCAACTTCACACGCTAAAGTATACTGACTGTATGCTCTCTCGACCAATTAGAGTTTTCAAAGTAAGTCTAATGTGTAATAATAGAAATAACACCATAGGCAAATTCACTCAGTTTACCTTTACCATCCACCTCATGTTACCGACGTTTTCCTTGGAGTGTTTAATTAAGTGCAATCATGTGTCAGAGAAGAGACCTTTTATTAACGACTTTCTATTGTTCTCACTTTCCAGATTTTTCTAGCGCCAAGAGGTCCATCTGTGGCTGCAATATCAAAAAAAAAATAATGATTTTCTCTCTTTCATCTATACCTTTTTCCGAGAGAGCGTTGTGAAAGCTGAAAGAAATTGCGGATCATGAAACTTTATACTGAAACATTTTCAAATCATAGAAACCCTTGAATGAAGCTTTCAAGAATAAGTATTAAATGGCGATTTAAAATATTTCATGAAGAAATCAGTACCCGTTGTCTTTCAACTGTTTGCGCGCTAAAATGTTCTGGATCAATCTCAGTTGCAGAGCAACTGCGCAACCGCCCTTCCTCTGACCCAACAACGAAAGCCAAGTCTATTTTGAAATGTGTCTCCAGAATGCCTGGAACTAACTCACGTATCAAGTAGTTTTTTTATTAACAATATTGGAGATTTTTTACGTTTCTTACGAAGTTTTTTTTTTAACTAGCCTTCGAGAAAAAGGATTTAATAATTATTAAAAAACACCGACAAGAAATCAAATACCCATTGTCTTTCAGCGCCCATGATGAATAATTTCTCGATTGTTGCAGAGGCCAACGGATTGTGCTGCCTTTTCATGCTTGAAACAATGTTATTTCGGAAATCAGTCAAATTGTTTTTGCTCTCAAAATTTATTTTAATGGCCTGAATCACCACCATAACACAAATCAATAAAATTTTATTGATGGCGATTGTCATCATGCGAAAGAAATTTATCGGAACAAAACATTTGGTGAATACGGTATTCGCCATAGTTGGTCTGAGAACCGCGTCCTACCTTCCGAGCGTTGTTGACACAGTTGATCTGTAGGAGTCTTCACTTATTTCAGTTTTCCAAATTCAAAATTGTCTCTGTGTAGCGAAAAACCTGTCGTCTGCATCAAATACATCTTCTTTCGGTCACCTCCGAACTTATCAAAGGTAATTTATGCAAAATTCACGCTATATTTGTTAGAAATAGCGATCAGTGAGTTTTCGTTACCGTGGATTTCAATTTTTTTTCCAGCCACGTCGTTTTTAAGGACATTGAATTTCCAAAAATTGTAATTAGCAACAAGTTCAGCGTCGAAATAGCGTGAGTCTATGAGATAAATCATACCCTGGAAATGCTAATTTTTGCTTGCTTTCTAATAGAAATTTCCCAGAGTTATGTCCCGCTTTAGATTGATTGATAACTTTGTAGATTCCTTCAGCATACTGATTTTACAAGCAAAATATCTAGTTCTGCCCGGCTCCTAAGAAAGCCTGCTTTCCAAGGTTGCCGTGTCTCATTCGAAGCTCTGATGACGTAGCATGCATTTGGACTCATTTTAGGAAGCTGCACAACGCAGATCTTGGGATAGGCCGTTCCAAAATGTCTCCACTTTCCGCTTCGCACTTTACACCTGGGTATGTTGGCGCAAGAGAACACTTTCTCTTGATTACTGCCAATTATCCCAAGACCTAGTTATTGTTCGACAGACTCAGACCCCGTCCACACAAATGCGTTTCCGAAACGCTCCGTTTTCGTCTTATTAAAAACGCATCGAATACTTTGCGTCCACATCAGCGTTTTCATAGCGTTTTTGAATATCCACTCTATTGATGTACTCGTCAAACTGCGCATGCCTGAGCGAACGACCCTTGGCTTCCCTTTGACTTACTTGTCCGAGTCGTGAGTCGCGAACCGTTTGAGAGAACCAATGTTCAACAAAAGGTTGAATGACGCAATATTAAGCTCCAAAAAAGCGATTAAGCAAGGCAAAAACATTAAAAACATATCCATACGCTCATCCGTCTTATTTGTTTCGAATTTGAGACGAGAGGCCTGGAAATAAGGTTGCACGACGCTATGGCGTCATCCAACGTCCTTGTTTTCGAAAGGAGGACGTCTCCGTTTTCGACTGTCTTTACTAAAACTACCCAGCTGATAAAGCCAAATCATCTTGTAACACCCTCCACCGAAGCAGCACCACAGTTTCTGTAGAAAATTATACCCCTTATATTCTCACTGTGTTGTGTTGCCTTAATCTGGAAAGTTCACATCAAACTTGTGCTCTGTTTGAGATAGCGGCTCATATGACCGTGTGACAGACAATCTGAAGCACAAAAGGTTCAAAATTAGAGAAAACTTTTATATCACAGTCACCCACTGGAAATAGACCGCTCAATACAGGTCGACCACTGAAGACATGTTCCACAGATTTGGGGTATTAAAAAAAACGTAAACTGAATCTCGCTCAAAAATACTATTTACTTTGAATCTGGGAGAGAATTGATTAATTGATAGATTATTGCTAGTTTTATTAGAGTGATCCCGCTTTCAATAACCGTTCAATACAATTGGAGGACGATAGAAACAGGCTATTGGGACCTAGTAAAGGGTGACCAGGACCGCTAAATAGAGGTGACCGTTTAGTACAGGTTCGACTGTAGAAACACGTACAGATGTGAACCTTACGCCAGTAGAAGGGCGTAAAAGATAATCACGGAAACATCGAATTTAAGAGCGTATGAACAGGGAACTAAGAATTTTCTTTCTTAGTATAAACTACGCAACAATTCATACCTAAACTACACAACTAATGTCCGGCGAATCGTGACAATTTAAGACAGAGCGAATACATTTGTTTTGAGCAACAGTTTGACCTTAAACTAATTAGAAAAAAACAAGATAAGCATGAATTATTTTTAACAGGTACCGCGTGTGTTAACGATAATAATATTTGTGCGTGACCTCAGTGATTCAGAATCAAAGTAATGGGTATCTATGGGCCATTTTTTTGCTACTTAAAAAAGAAAAAAAAAACACTATCCACTCATGTTTAAGCAGTTCTCTGACTCGCCTCAAATATAAGAGACAGAACGTGATTTTATCGTTTAGGTCAGATAACTGTGGCTGGTACCGGGAGGTTAATTTGCCAACTTGACCAACGAGAAAATTCGGCTTGGATTTTTTATTTTTCGTATGTGGAATTGCTCGGGTGTACGGTGATAAAATGCCGTCAACAGACGCTTTCATGGAAACTGCGAATATATATCATGGTTCATCTTGGAATTCTGTCAAAGATTTTCTACAATATTTCTCCTCGTTAGGTTACAGAACGACAGTGATATTCGTCTTGTAGCAACTAACGAACGTTATACTCCGTTAAAACAAACAAACAAGGGAAACTCTTTGAACGAAAACTGTCGATCATTTGCCGGCTAAACAAAATTAAGTTATGCCATGGCCACGATGTGGATTAGGCTGGCTTTGCATCTTACTAGTTATCTGTAGTGTTGTCACAGTTCTCTCATCGTACTGCGTGGCTCTTTCTCATGGACATATTTATCCCTTTCTGCCGGCGATTAGCGAAACTGGCGTCTTATTTCCGGAGAAATATGTCTTTAGAGAGTTAACAAATTTAACTGCGTTTTTGTTCATCTCCAATGCGTTTGTCCGTTTTATGCAGTACAAACTTGTGGCTGAGCAGTGTCGAGAGGAGCATGTAAAACTGCGACGTCTCAACAAACTAGCTTTTGTGGTCGCCATCTTGGCAGGTGTCGGAATGACCTTCGTGGCTAACTTTGAAATAGAAAAGGTATGGCTAACACAGTTATTATATTAGTCTTAAAACCTTGCAATTTCCTTCTGATATTGTTTCCGATCTCTAAAGCGGATATATTCATATGTTATAAGTTAGTGAGTGGCGTTTGAGATTCATGACACCAGAAACTCGCAGATCGTGATACGAATGTTAGATAAAGCGACCGGTCATTATTTATCGCCGATATGGCGGGGGCGGCCTCTCTCCTCTGTCCCCTTTCCCTCCCCCGGTGATAAATAATGATTGGTCTTTGAGTGAAATGCAAGCAACTTCAAGCTTATATTAACTCTTGAAACTCAGACTTTTTCTGTCTCTGAAGCTGACGAGAAATAGAGGAGTCCCATAGTTCAAACCAGAGACGTCCTCTGGGCGGGAACCTTTTTGTCTTACCCCAGGTGTTATCGTACCCCGAAATTTCGAATCTCGGTTGGCGGGGGGAAGGGAAGACATACTGTTGGGGAGGTGCCGTAAAAGAAATCACCCCAGGGTGTTAAGTGATGAGGATAATTTAGTCATTTTTTAGAGTAAGATATCATGGTTGACTAAAACTTAGATCGAAGAAAAAGCACTTTTGCTTTTACACTATTCAGGACTGGTCCATTCACGACATCGGTGCGATGACAGCCTTTTTCAGCGGTCTTCTTTACTGCTGGTTACAATGCGCAATGTCATATAAGCTACGCGACCACGGTGTCATCAACAGCTCAGCAGTGTGTCACTCCAGAGTCACGGTCTCTCTCCTCATAACCTTTTGCGTGGCGATATTTGGCGCGTGCCAGACCAAGGCCAATTGGGAATGGGACCAAGCTCGGCCTCGTTATCATTTCTTAGCCAAACTCAAATGGAGCCCTGAAGATCCGGGATATTTTTACCACGTGGTATCTAATGTTGCAGAATGGAGCATGTGTGGAGGAATGCTTCTGTTTATGTTGACGTTTGCGCACGAGTTCCAGCAAATAGAGATAACATCTGATATTTCATCTACTGATTACTGGTGACGATTTATATGCGGAACTCAGCCCACTTCGGATCTCCTTTTTCAGTATTGGATGAAATTTAATTAGAATACGGTAATAAATTTTAATTTTCAAATTACGCGCTCAAAACAGCCAGGAGCTTTAAAAGAGTGAAGTCTTAACATGTGAATGTTAGCCTTGATGATGGCATTTTCAGCTACAGTTCATCAAACAGAAGAGCGCCAGATTAGAACGAAGGTAATCTCGTACTCAGATCCTACAATGTAACTGTAACTTACAACCGCTTGGCTGGGAAAGGTCTGGGTACAAGACTTGCTGGGGCCTTTCTACGTCCAGATTGGCTATCATCCTCGATAATCAGGGTACTGAGCTACAATAGTTGAAGGACATTTTCATAATAACGTTTCAACAACTCTTTTATTAGAATTCCTTTTAATCATAAAAGCTTTGAAGCTGAACTTCGTCGAGTTAGCAATTAGTTTGACCAGGCGTGGACACAACTTAAAACTTTTCTTTTAAGTGCTGATGATGTCTTCCTCACTGACAACATTTCAGCAAAATTTCTCAGAAGTATGAAGGTGTCCAAACACTCGTGAAAAAAAAGAGTCTGCTAGAATGACTGCTAGGTGAGAACACAGAGTGCAAAACAAGAGAAATATTTCATTATTATATATTCATATTTTTTTTACCCTAGCTATATCAGAACAGGTTGTGGTTCAACACCATTCTATTTTTTACTTTCTCTAAGCTATTATCTCCAAATTATAGATAATACAGACATATATTTTCCTATGTAGCAATATTGTTTTTGGAAATTCAGTTCCCTTAATATTAATTGTTTAACATTAAATTCACATTGCTTTCAAAAATACTGCCCCTGCATACTGCCCTGGGGTCTGTTTCCTGAAGGTCCTGGCAACTTACTGGCCTGTAAAGCTGTTCTGATTTTAATTCCAGATGGGGGTTTAAAAGGTTTAGAAAACATACAAAAAAAAAACTATTTGCCAAAGAAACAAAATGGACTCGTTAGGGTGCCAGAAACTGCTTCTCTATTGTTTTAATGATTTCCAGCCCATTAAGTTACTAGGACTTTGAAGAAACTGGTTGCAGATCCTTCACCAAAACCATTTGCAAAATTCCACCAAATTCACCATTAACGTTTTTTGCATCCATTGTGGGACAGAGCTGACAGAGGTGACCTTTAAAGCATTAACCATTTAACTGTTAAGAGTGACTAGCATCTAATTTCTCCTCACAATATCACCACTGAATCACACACTGATGTCATGAGAGTAAAATAAATGATCACCAACTAAAGAAACTCTTGATTGTTACACAGATTCTCCTTGTCAGCACCTTAGTTAATGTAAGGAGAATATGACACTAATGTTAGACTGTAAAGGGTCAAAGAAGTCGCTGCTCCCAACATCTACCCCACCGCTGATTGTATGCTATTATTCTACCATTAATGAAGATCAGCTTCAGGATGACATTTCTAATTTGTACAAATCACTTCTTTTTTGCTGCTGAACAGGAATCTGAGCTCTAATTTCTTCAAGATAGTTAACATCTGCAAAACAAAATGGGAAGACTTTAAATGAATTTTTGGAAATCAAACTTTTTCAATTTTATAGCAATAATTCTACAACAAGAATAATACAAAATCAGAAGATCTAGTCTTTGTATCTGTGATATTTTTGTATTTCTACAACCATCTTTACTTATGCCATTACAAATTCAATTTATTTTTTGTTCTTTGACTTGTGTAATCAACTCCTTAACAAATAAAATCTACAAGAGAGCTGTAAAGACCATGTGTAAAAACAACCATACCTATATCTGAATATAAGATTTGCTCTGTATGGTCTGCTTTGGCAATCACTTCACCCCTAAGAAAAACCATCCACAATGCATCATCATTTTATCAATAAAAATCAAAGTGACAAAGCATGAACCAATTATAATAAATGATGGTTGATCCATGCAGTTAAAAAAGGAAATTTGATTAAGTAAGGAATGACAACTGACTATCAAAGAAACAGAAAAACAAGAACTATCCTAATTGATTTCCAGTATTCTCAGATGATCAGAATTATCTCTGCTTCTGTTTCCTAAAGGAGGAAAAATCTCGGAGAAAGAGGAAAAAAAAAATGGGCAAACACAAAGACACCCAAAATACTCAACACTATCTAGGAAATCAATGACAAAAAAGTCATAATAATCACAACACAATTTCTGTTCTCATCCAACTGCATCTTTCTTTGGCTGGTGATAAACCACAAGCTTACAAATGACCTTTTCACCATTACAATCCTTACCCTTATAATCAAGAGCTTTGGTAGTTGGTACTCGATTTCCTTTATTCTTGCGACTATAATAAATGATTCAGGGGTGATATTGTAAGGGGAATTTAGATGCTAGTCACTCTTAGGGGTCTACAGGTTCATAAATTTTTACCATGGATTGACAACTGTACTGTGGCCCCAGGCAACATATGTTGCTTTTTCATCTCTGGCTGGAGACACAGCTGCTACATACAGCTGAAAAAGAAGGAGACAACTTGAAATTCATAATTTGTGTTTCTTTTGTTCAATGTATAATACTATGTATTGCTAAGATTAGTAACTGAACCAGGGTGAGTTCAATTCACAAATATTGGGTGATTAATTTTTCTGACCTGATTATCCAGCGCCCTGTGAATGAAAACAGAGACTGTTAAGTTTTCAGAACATTCTACTTCAGAATTCAAGCACCAACAGTGGAAGCTGACCTGGTATCCTATTATGGTAAGGGCAAATACCTAAGTTAATTTCAAAATGGTGTTATGTTAAAATCTTAACACATTTGAAGATAAATTTAAGCAGTTTAGTCAGAACTACATTTTATGATGTTTTAGTTCATATGGCAGAGATGAAAATTACATGCTTTCTTGAACACTCTTTTCTTTTAACCCTTTAACTCCCAGAAGTGTTTAACATGTAACTTCCCCCTGTAATATCCATAAATTATCCAGCAAACAGCTGTTGTCTTGATCTACCCATAGTGGTACCCGAGGTACCAGCAGTGGCATGTGTTTAATGCAAAATCAACAGATTCCCCATGGGTAAACGACCGGAAATTATGGTAACACCAAATTCTTGTTACTAATTTGCAAGGAAATGTGTTGCAGCTAGAGGGGAGAATTATCAACTAGATCTTGGGAGTGAAAGGGTTAAATCTACAACTATACACTATAATCTGTGAAAAACTTACCTTGCCCTAATGAGTGGTTCCCAATGAGCTGGTCCTGTGGTCATGTTAAATGCTCCAGGATAAAATAGCAGTTTACACCCTAACAAATTGAAGCAATTTTTGGTAATGAGTGCATGTTTTTTAATAAACTTATTAAAATGCATAAAAAAATTTTGCAAAATTCAACAACAGATCTTATTGAACCAATTCAACCAAGGTACTGCAAGTTTCTCATTGGCACCCCTTAGTATTCATAATGATAAAAACACTATTATGAAAAAAGATGATAATTGCAAGGCTGTTGACAAGTTTGAAAGTAGGAAGTAAAAAAGATGGCAGACTAGCTGTTTTCAGCTTTGTAATTGATCAACATTCACCTTGCTGTGTGTAAACTTGAGCCATCTCTGGAAACCTGATGTCATAACAGATTCCAATTCCTATTTTACAGAGAGCTGCCAAAAAAATAACATGACTTCAGGTAAGATGAATATAGCTTCCACAACCACATAAACAATAACATTAAAAAATAATTTCAACAACGGCAGCATTCCCAGTTTAGAGTGATTAATAAAGATAAAAGATTTTAAACCAACATACATGTATCCATCATTGTCAGCTGTTTCCCACCACACAAAACTTCTGATTCTTGAAAGCGAATTTTTCCTGGAACATCAATATCAAAGAGATGAACCTATGAAAAATATGTGATACCTGTTCAGAAAAATTCTTTATAAAGAAAAAAATAACAAACTGGATTCAAGTGATATCAGGGAGATTGACATTGTACTCTTTTCCAACAAAAAAATTTGAAATTTGAGAAGGAGATGGTGCTAAGCAAAACAGAATTTGGAAACCCAACACTGCCCACATAGATTGATAAAAATACAGATTGGAACAAAGCATGTAAAAGTATAGATATTCAATGCTCCTCAAATTTTCTTGTTTCCCCAACTCTAGGGTCAAAATCTGAGAATTAAAATCTCAATATCAAAAATCTGAGGTCATTTATTAGGAAAATCGAAATGGCTTGGTGTGAGTTAAAAACAACTGCTATAAATGGTTAACCAACTTCTCAATCTTACAACAACTTGGGGCTGCATTAGTGTGCTAACCTTTCTGTGTTTGGCAAGCATGGCACCATCAGGTCCAAAAGAAGTTGAAGTATTGTACAGCTTCCCATCAGAATCACTTTCAGGGATAGACCCTCCTATGATGTAACAACCTGTCTCCTTAGCAACAGATGAGAGCATGTTTGTGGATTCCCCTGGAATTTGCTCAGCATAATTGGCAAAATACTGAGTGCCATAAGGTGAATTGAAACATTCCTGATGGAGTCGGATTATTTTGAAGTTAAATTTAAGAAAATAATAAAAAGAATAATTCCTTAACTAACCTTAGAAGGTGACAAATGAATAATGGGGATAACTTTCTATAGAAAATGTGGTGCTGTGTTGGCAAGGGATAATGCGCGATAATTTGGTGTTTTCGACCTAGGAGGGCTAACAATTGAAGCTACACTTAAGAAAATCTTTACAGTGGTCAATTTACATTATTAACTCAGTTGACAAAACCAATTTTCTTCTATAAGGGTGACACAGAAGGTGCTTATGAATACTGGAATCTCAAATTGGTGAGATTTAAAATATCATGTAGAGATTTAGTCTATGATTGCCTACTATTTCCAAGGAAAATTATACCACTATGAGTGACTAGCATCTAATTTCTCCACACAATATCACCCCTGGATCACACAGAAAGGTCAAGAGAATTAAGGAAATGTCACTAACTAAAGAAGCTCTTGATTGTTGCACAAATTCTCCTTGTCAGCACCTTAGGAAATGTATGGAGAACAGTATGGAGAATATGCATACTGATGTTAGATTAAAGGTTAATACTCAATGCTTAAAAATTGATTCCAAAAATTGGTCTCTGCAATGTGTAAATAAATTAATCACATATAAGACTGTGATTGAAATGATGATCATGTTTACTTAATATAGGGATTCAGTGTATTGTCTCTAAAACAAAGAAGAGAATGTGTCTTGAGGTATTTTGTCCGAGCCTTGCACTTCAGAGTCCCCCCTCCCCTTCCAAAACCGTTCCCCTTTAAAAGGGGTAGGGTTGTTAATGTAGGAGTTCCCCCCAGTCACTCATCCCATCAAAGGATCACTGA